ATCCACCAGGCCGGGCTGGGGAAGGGAAATGCACGATCCGAGAGGCAGCTAAGCACACACCACAATGCACGAACTTTGTGTTAGGGAACAGTAATCTCATGCCAAGCTGAACTCCACAGACTTTTTAATAAATAACGAAGGTCACTGCCTCGATTGAACTGACTCGCTGTCAGTTCAAGTCCATTAAACAAATCAGTTGATATCGAAGGAAATAATTTTTTGGGGAGGGAGGGGAGTTTTATGGCTTAAGGCAGGTTATCGTGGAGAAGGGGACATTTTCCCAGGGACGACAAACGGCGAATGGATCTTTTAAGCTTTTTTTTTTTTTTCATTTCTAAAGTCTGATTCTTACATCTGTTTTGGTGCGCCTCCTAAAAGTTTTGTTTGGCTTTCCAGTACAGAGGGACAGAAAATCACAATGGCAATGTTCTTGACAATACAACTCTCCTGAGTGGAGGGAGGGAGGGAAGGAAGGAGGGAGGGAAATGGGAAGAGAAACCAGAGAGGGAGGGAGGAAAGGAAGGAAGGAAGGAAGGAAGGAAGGAAGGAAGGAAGGAAGGAAGGAAGGAAGGAGAAGGGAAAGAGGAAGGGAGGGAGGGAGGGAGGGAAGGAAGAAAATGGGAATGAGAATGAAGGAAGGAAGGTAGGAAGGAAGGAAAGAGAGGGAGAGAGGAGGAAGGAAGGAGATGGGAATGAGAAGGAAGGAAGGAAGGAAGGAAGAAGATGGAATAAAAATGAAGAAAGGAAGGAAAGAAGGAAGGAAGGAGACGGGGAGAGAGGGAAGGAAGGAAATCTGAATGGGAAGGAAGGAAGGAAGGAGAAGGGAAAGAGGAAGGGAGGGAGGGAATGAAGGAAGGAAATGGGAATAAGAATGAAGGAAGGAAGGTAGGAAGGAAGGAAGGAGGAAAGAGAGAGGGAGGAAGGAGGAAGGAAGGAGATGGGAATGAGAAGGAAGGAAGGAGATGGGGAGGGAGGGAAGGAAAGAAGGAAATGGGAATGGGAAGGAAGAAAAGAGATGGAATAAAAATGAAGAAAGGAAGGAAAGAAAGAAGGAAGGAGATGGGGAGAGAGGGAAGGAAGGAAGGAAATCTGAATGGGAAGGAAGGATAGATAGAAATAAAAAGGAAGGAAGGAAGGAAGGAAATAAAAAGGAAGGAAGGTAGATTTGGGGATATGCATAGCGCCTTCTAAAAGATTAATAATAGATATGGAATTCCTCTTAGAACTGAAAGCACTCAAGTGTGACTGATAGATTTCGCTCCATAGACACACACCATCACACTATGGGAATGCAAATATTTACCCGCCCAAATGAAGAGTTCACGCAGAGCTTTCAAAATCATTTTTAAGATAATACATAGGAATCAGATGAAAGACAGTGAGCTTCTGCAAAACTCACGGAACGGGTGTTTTTTTGCTGATAGCCCTGGCTAAAACATGAAAGGGTTCCTTTCATCCTGCACTGACTCTAAAGCCTTCAAAGAGATTTCGCCAGAAAGAAATCCTGCATTTCCATAAAACGAAGCCTGTAATTTTCAAGAATTTGAGTTAGGATTGCCAAAAGCGTGTGGCTCCAGAAGGATGGCTATTATTTCCCAGTAGCCTTGCATAACATGCAAACAAACAAACAAACAAAAATCCCTTCCTTTAAAAACCTAGTGAAACAAAAATGAGCGAAATTAGTAGAAACAAATCGTAAGTGTTCTGATCAATATCAGCTCAGTGAAGTTTTTTTTACAACAGAAATTCAACAAAGAATTTCCATCTCTGTGCTAGACAAAACTTAATGTGGAGGAGTGCTTTCTCCTGTATTACACCCTTACAGATATTCCCTTCCTTTCCTCCATCCTACTCTTCCTTCCTTCCTTCTTCCCTCCCTCCCTAGTGGGTAAGTGGTTGCTGCGTGATGGAGGGAGCGAACAAGGGATTGCACGACTGGCTGGGAAACTGTCACGAAACGTTGAAAACAAAGATCGTGATCATCACAGCAGCCCAGCAGCAGGAGCCAGTAACACCGAAGCAGCCATAGCTTCCCCAAATTGGGAGAGATGGGCCCTGGATTTTGGATGCAATCTGAAAGTTAGTTCATTTGAGATACCTTGGTTCACAAATTATCTCTCTACGAGGCACCATTTCACCTAGTTAAAGATCACAGCAAAAGTTTTGTTAGTACCTAGATTCTCCACATTATTTTGTACACTTTCCACCTGATTTAGACATTTTCTCTGGCTCTGGGATATTCTTTCCTGCACCTCGGTTACTAAAGAATAAGGAAACGCCCAGAATTGCGCAGAATATTCCAAATAAAGCTGCATTTGCAATTTATAACAACGTGGGCAGTCTCAGGTCCCAAGACCCCTTGCAGTTCTTCACACACACACCCCGAACTCTAACCGCGACGAGTGAAAACCGCAAGGTTGGTTTTCGCCCTGTTGAAGCGCGAAGCGCGAGAAATTCAATGGCAAACCTTAGAAAAAAAATCTAAACATAAAATCTGAAGCGAGGGGGGGGGGAAATAGCATTCTTTCCCTCTTTTGCAAAGATCCTGGGAGAGAATCACCTTGAAAATAGCCAGCCTACGTGTGTGACCCCAAACCGCTCTCTTTGAACCTTCCCTTCGTCCTTGCTTTCATCTTTCCTACAACCCCATCAAAAATATTAACTCTGAATTCCGGCCAACGGCAACGCTTCTGAATACAAATCCCTGATTTATATAACTCTGCATGCCTGCTGCCTTGTTTTGCAACAGGCCGGGCAAAGGCTGAGAGTCGGTTTGTCATGGCACCCCCTGCCAGAACTCAAGCTAGTTTGCTTTTTGTTAATCCCAGCCCCTTTTTTTTTATTCCTTCAGAGTTCCCGGAGAAGAGGCAGCGTTTAGTTCTTTCAAACGGGTTTTCTACATGGGCTTCTTAGGAACATCGCTCACACTGGAAGCTGGAAGAAGTCCTTCAAGCTGAGGCGAAAAGCAATTTCCCAGCAATGTGCTGGTTGGTAGCTTGACAATCCCCTCCCTCACCCAGTAGGAACTGGAAATGGACACGTTGGGAAGTACATTGGGCAAAAAGTTGACCTACTTAAATGGCTATCAAAAGACTATTTCTGGAGTCCTTTCCCAAGCAAGCCCATCCGTGGCCACAGAGGAGATTCTGATGCAGGCTGCAACAGATCTTAGCTCAGCCTTTTCGGCTCCTGGAGGCTTTTAAGAAGAGACTGGAGAGACATTTGTCTGAAATGGTATAGGCCGGGTTCCTGCTGGTGCAGGGGGCTGGACTAGAAGACCTCATGGTTTGATAGCCCATCATCAGCCAGTCGGTGCAGAGCGACCTGATCATGCCTCGTATAAGGGAAAGAAAGAAAGAAAGAAAGAAAGAGAAGAAAGAAAGAAGGAAGAAAGGAAGGAAGGAAGGAAGGAAGGAAGAAAGAAAGAAAGAAAGAAAGAAAGGAAGGAAGGAAGGAAGGAAGGAAGGAAGGAAGGAAGAAGAGAAGGAGGGAGGGAGGAAGGGAAATGAAGGGAGGGAAATGGAGGGAGGGAGGGAGGGAGGGAGAAGGGGAAAAGGGAGGAAGGAAGGAAGGAAGGAATAACAGAGTTGGAAGGGACATCGGAGGTCTTCTAGTCCAACCCCCTGCTCAAGCAGGAGACCCTATACCATTTCAGACAAGTGGCTGTCTCTTCTTAAAATCCAGGAAGGAAGGAAGGAAGGAAGGAAGGAAGGAAGGAAGGAAGGAAGGAAGGAAGGAAGGAAGGAAAAGGGCAATTCTCTCCTCCCTCACATTGTTAATCCAGATTACCACAATAGTTTGGTGCCTGCAAGCAAATAGGTATTGCAATGCTATATGTGGATAGAAATTGGGGAAAAAGCTTGGAACCCCCATTCAGAAGAAGGTGCAAACACATCTGCCTGGGCTTAATGTTGTGTCTCTTGCCTAAGTGAAAGGCTTTTCCTGTCCTAAAGGAAAAATGTGAACGTAAAGCTTGTCTACTTCGCTTTGAACAGAAATCGTAGTTGGACATGCAAGGTGCCGGTTGGGAAGGACCAACACCATCAATGAAACAAGGAGGACAGTGCTGTGGAGCGTAGGTTCAATCTAGGGATTTCTTGACCAAAATCAAATCTGCAAGTCCTTTTGCACAACACAGCAACAACAACAGCACTTAAGACGTATATATCGCTTCACAGTGCTTCACAGCCCTCTCTAAGCGGTTTACAGAGTTGGCACCTTGCCCCACCAACAATCTGGGTCCTCATTTTACCGACCGCGGAAGGATGGAAGGCTGAGTCAATCTTGAACCGGTCAGGATCGAACTGCCGGCAGTGGGCAGAGTCAGCCTGCAATTCTGCAATCTCACCACTGTGCCACCATACCATTATATCTGGTTTCCAACCACACCTCTATAATATTGTCTTTTCATCCCAACAACCTAATTTAGCCAATGGAGAATGCTCTTTTGTTAGAGAAGAGGAATCATTGTTCAGATGTTGGTCACTTTTTCACCAGATCTCAGTCTGAACATCCCCTCCCCACGTCCCTGGTTTGGCTGAGGATGATGGTAAAGGAATCAGGAAGTGCCCAAATACTCTAAGCCTCCCTTCCTCAGAGCTGGGACCTCTCCAAGACACGTAGCGCTGTCACAACCCCGCTTGGCCCAACCAAGCAAATCGAGACTTATGGATATTGTAGTACAACACAGGTTGGCGAAGGGCTGCTTTGAGTCTCTACCCCGTTAG